AAAAAATTCTATTATAATTTACTCTGAATCAGAATTAAAATATGATTACACCTACACTAATTAAGAATCATTTCTTTATAAGCATGGCTATCTCGCCGCCAACATTTGAGTATCGCGTATAAGATAAATTGGCTTCCTACAGATTGACCGCTAAATTTATCGCAATAAAGCAGTTTTTAAACTCATCAAACTGGTTGAAAAACATATGTACACGTACGGATTTGTTAAATAAAATATGGATCTGCTAAATGAAAAATACTTAAGCTTCGTTTTTGAGCTTTGCAGTTTTTATTAAAATAAAAACGTATTTTAAGATGAAAAAGAGAAAAATTACGGAAACAAGTTTGAATGTGAGACGTAAGCTTTCGTGCGAGGTACAACTGGAACTGACCTGGGAGTGCATTTCGATAATAGTGCGAGAAAGTGATTTGATTTTCGCGTAAACGTTTGAAAAGGCCACACGAGAATAAAATCACTTGGCGCACATGTATCAAACTTAATTTTTTTATACAACGTGTGAGACGCGAGATTTCAAGCACGTTCGTTTCTCCGAGCGTGACTGTCAAAAAAGTTCTTTCGTGGGCCCTGATCAACAGATTCAGTGTTATTCTAGATAAGTCTTATTCGCTGATGTAACCTTTTTATCTTTACTGACTTATTGAGTGCTTTATTAGTAATAGCAGAAAAGATAAGTTAATTAAACTGTCGTTACAGCGTGGAAAGGACTTCCGTACACGCCGAATTATTTGACATGCATAATCAGTATGAGATACTATTTGTTTTTCAGTATATTATTTTGAAGTTTTAGGTGTCATACATAATTAATTACTCTTGTAAGTGTTCAGCTTCAAACAAAGTTCGACAAGTTTAATGTATATGTGTGCTAATTTCATACAACGATAGACCCATAAATTAAGATATAATGAATAATACGTTACTAAAAATTACGTATCTTCTAGGGTTTATAAAGCAGTCAGAAAATATTAACGAAAATTTTGTTAATAAGAAAACTTAAATTAAATAATAGAAATAATATTAAGAAAACGATTTGATGTGTTGTTACTTTAACGTACGTTCATAAAATGTGCATGTTTTAATTAGTCGGGGCATTAGTGATACTCGAGTATTTGTTTAGAGCGTTCGCAGTTTTATACGCTTTCCTTCAGTTTTTAGAATCACTGAATTGAAATTTCGAGAGCGACACTAATTTCTGGTCAGTTTTGGAAAATCTCATATAACTGAGTTAATGGAAAACATAGCACATAAATATAAACAGACTAATTTATTTTTTAATAAAAAGTATATTTCAAAAGTTATAAATGTTTGAACAATGTACTATTATCATAAATTACTGTCTTCAAGTTTTCTCAATTTTGCAATACTTTTAATTCCGCGTTGAAAAATATTCTGCCTGTTGCATCTATTAATTAACGAAAATGAAAGCTCCTTACAAATATTGTTGATTAAATTCCAAACATATGATATATAATTTTCTCACTTGTTTCTGCAATAAGATTTAGTCATTTCGATATTCATTGCAATATAAAGAATGTAAATCTAATTTGAGAGGTTCATGGTGTAGAAATATATGTAATCTCTTATTGATGTAGTGGAATTGCAACAGAAGCGAGCATTCGTATATTCAAATTGATTTATTGGCAAAGCTTATCGCGTTTACTTAATCCAATGTTGCCAATACTGAAATCTCAGCGTAATTCAGAACAAAATTCAGAACAACGAACTCCTGCCACACGTCACCGATGAAGTTTTACAAAATATCATACCTTCGATATGTTACGATATGTACGAAGTGTGTATTTTACAATGTTGGTGATCGTCACTAAAACCGATTGAAGTTTAGAATGAAAAATAAATGTTGCGCTATTGGGTTTTCCTGAAAGAAAACTATTTTTGAACATGAACCGATTCAATACTTGAACGCAAAAGGTTTTTTTTTAATGAAAACGAATTGCAAATGAAAAACGTGTCGTGCAGTTTACATAAGCCACTATACATTGGTAGCCATAAATATAAAATAAAAAAATTTTTAATCGGAAATATTCGAAAGACTTCTCTTTTAGTTCCTTTCAATTAATTATTGAATATTTTTATGGTTACGTATGCAGGACCAACTAACAAATTCATGATTGTCTCTAAATCCACTCCGTTCCTTCTTCTAACTTAAGAAAAATAACTGTGACTTTATACATAAGTCACATAAATGACATTATATATAATTAAGTTAAAGATAGATTCAAGTATGAACTTTCATTGTATGATTATTAATTCCATATTATTTATGTTTGCATATATTGGCACATTATAGAATTGTAAGTCTGAACGCATCAAAAATCTTTGTACAGTTTTTTATAAGTTGAAGCACTTGCCACAAAATACGGAGGTAGTATAACAAGCTACGTACATGTATACCGGATACATTATGACATATATATCTTTGGGAAATTTACCGTACTTACTGCGGGTTCACAAAAATACTTTTCACATTTTTTAAGACAAGTGGAAGGTTTACGAATCTAAATTAAATATAAATATTTTATGAGTAATTCTGCAAAACCCGCATATATATTTATCTCTTTTTGGTAATAATAAAAAAATTTACTGATTTCACGCAGACGTTTGACGAACATTTCAATTTTAATGGTTTTCATTTCGTCGTAACAATTTCGAAGTTAAAAATCAAGTTTATTTGTAGAAAGATCCAGAAGTATATCGCAGAACCTACTTCGAATCACGGCGTTAGTGCATTTTATTTTTTGTATACTTGAAAAATATATACAGCTTTAAAAGCTGATAATTTTTAGTTGCAAAACCTGTACAGCTCCAGACATTTCTAATAATAATTTGAAGTGATTAACAGTCGTAAATTATAATGGGTACGGCGGAGTTGGAATTTCACAATTTATCAGTCTTTTGAAAACAATCGAGAGAAGCTAAAGAGCATTAAAAAAACCCTTGTAAGTGTAAAATTAGCAAGTGCACATAGAGATTAGTTTGCTCGCAGCATGAAAATTGAACGACTGTCGACGGGATAACGTCGGAGATAGGCGCAATCGTGCGTTCGTACATTTTTATGCGCTGCGCCGGCTCACGTGAATTTCAAATGAGAGACGCGCGATCCTTTCCCTGAATCTCAAGGCCAGTTCGTGTTCGCGATTCATTTTAACCATTACCTCGGCCCAAAAGAAGACATTTTCACGCGTTTACGCGCATTACAGCAATTGCGCCGACGCCTTATCGACTCGTATATCCGTGAGTAAAAAACTTACTTCTTTTCAACGTTGGGTATAGCAAAATGAGAGGGCTCGGATCTCAATCGCCTAAGGCCAATAGTTAAGTTTCCTTCAAACGCTATGTTTTGTAGCGGAAGTCAAGAAGCTTATTAAAATTGGCAACGCATCTCATACTAATATTCGTCCCAATGATTTGCAAGAACATTTTTCACTCTGCAGTCTGCTAGATCGATTTTCGCTAATGTATTCATATTAATATGTCAGATCAATGCATACATGATATTCTAAGAAATTCAATCTTATTCATTATTTTTCTACGATTATCGAAAAATTCAGAAAAACAGCACCAGTCAACGAACTTTGGCCAATGAAATTAATTAAATTAAACGAGTTACATATTTCATTCATCAGCAGTTTCACAAAAATTTTGGAATAATTATTAAAGATCTTTGCTCCGGTGTCTTTACGAATGAGCAGAAAATATAAAATTGGCTTATTTGTCGTAGCTGACGCGTGACGTAATACGCACAGCCGTCTGCAAAAGCTAAATACTAATCTTAATTAAAAAAAGTGAGTCCAACATTTGCTTGATAAAGTTTACGTAGTGGTTTCATTGCACAATAATGGTTTACTAATAAAATTCGAATTATCAGAGCACAATAATTGAGCACTGTAAACCCGCGAACAGTCGACAAGTGGCATCGACAATTAATTGTTTTTCTATATATTTTGCATTCGTAATCAATATCAGAAACTGATATTAGATCATTGAGTGTCAAGTGAGCGGCGTTAATTAAAGTAATTCATCACTGATGCGTTATAATTAAAAGCGGACGAGCAAACACGAGCAAAAGCAGTCATAACGCGGAAGAATCGGCGGTTGACTGAAGCGCGAAAAATAGGATTGCATGTTAATGTACAATATTGAAAGAAAGATACTTTAGAACACTATAAACGTTTTACACTTTTGTTGTTATTGATTTTTTTTCCATCAATGAAACTTAAAAAAGATGATATTCTGCGAAATATTCAAAATTCGTGAAATTTGGTGTCGAATACGAAATAAAATACAATGTGCAGATATCGGAATTAGTTTATCCTTTAGGCTTTTATCTTACCCTATTTGTACGACGGAAAATATATTTTTCTAGGATTTGAAAATAAAAATTGTTTCTATGTTAAAGCACTCGATCAAGTGTTAATTTCAAAATTCCTATCATTATTTGACTGCAATTTTGACTTAACGGTCAAAGTAACAGAGAGCTATTCGTAATTATCAATAGATTTGATCCATGTGAAACAGCGCAGTTTCGTTTTTCGTGCTACTAATTGATGGGTGAGTTGACATGTCGCGTAAAAAAATTTTAATTTGTTATTTTCTGAATCGTCCGTTGGAGAAAAAACGCTTGATAGGTAAACCGATGTAATGCAATAATTTTATGACGGCAGAAGAAGTAGATTGCAGAATGACGCAGATAAGTACAAGCGGTCGCGATTACGATCTTGAAAAATACGCGCTACATCCGAATTCCGAGACTGACGCATTTCTCTGCAGCGTGTGTATTTTTTTAAAGTGAGATAAGTGTGTTGTCGATATATTTGTATATTATCGTTAAGTGTGCAGATGAGCGTAGTATCAGATACGAAAGAACAAAAAACAAAGAGGCAGCTGTTACACAAAAAATACAGCAGAAAGTGCAATGTACCAAAAAAGATAAGAGAGTAAGTTGATAAGCATGCTTCACTTACTTTTGCCCCACTTGGGCCTGCCATCGGCGTGTACGGGAATGGCATTGTTGAAGAATTGGTTAACGACGACCGAGGACTTGCGGCGCAAGCTGCGCGCGAACAGTGACGGGTCCTGCGTGTCTTTCACGTGTTGCTCGCGCTGCTGCTGCAAGTCATCCTGCCGGTTGGGATTCTGACTGACTATCGAGTAACTCCTGCTCGACAGCCTGTTCCAGATCGAGATAATGTCGTCCTTCATGTTTGTCGAAAGTCGCGGAAGCTCTCGAGGAGCTCGACGACAAGACAAGTACAAATAAGCGCGACACGCGGGACTCACTCAACGGGCCGACAAAGCGCTTGCTTTGCCCACAAAGCAAAGTTCAGTGTAACGAAGCAAGCGATTGTGGCGTCACTGACATGCAAGATGACTTTAGCGTATGCCGAGTACGAAAGCTCGACGCGCTGTCGGAGGGTTCGAGAAAGAGAGAGCGAGCGTCTTGGCGACAGCACGAGTGAGAGGTGCGCAAGGTGTGCGATACGTTTGAAAAGTGCCGAGCTACCTCTTCGAGTCGGCAGAGATTTGTGCGCCCACTCCCACTCTGGGGGACCTGCGTGGCTACTCCGAGGCACGTGGACTGCTGGCCAATAGTCGAACGGCGTCGCAGCTTCTATAGCGCTGTTTCCGCCGAAACGGGGATTTTCAGCACCGGTCTGCGGCTTTGACGCACACGGTGTGCACGCGGCCTCTTTTCTTCTCGATTTGCCCAAAAACCGCATTCAACCGCAGATTTATATTAACAGTATTGACCGTTTGCGTCAGCGATGCTGCGCTTGTTTTGTGCGAAAGAAGCATCATTTTTTCTAACTAATCAAGATCAAAATCAGACGAGTTCATTCGACACAAAAGTGCATTCATATATTATGATTATCGTCACGATGATACCTATTATGTAAATATAGAAAATTTCTTCTTTTCAAGTTTCAATCAATAAATATTTCAATAGTCTAAACGTATGAACACAATTATGCAAAGTGTATATTAATAAAATCAATGTACTCGCGATTCAATAGAACGTTAGCGATGGATAATACGTAGTGGCATCATTAAATTGAATTTTCTGAACCACTGCTATTATTTGACCGTGAGATGCGTTACGCACAACCTCATCTTTGCTTCAATTAATATTAAAGTTCGATTGAAAATACGTTGGCGACAGTCCAGTTACAAAGTAGACGACTCGTTCCTCGTATTCACATAAGGTGTTGGCTTACCCAAAGCGATCTACAACGGAAACAGCGAGTCTATTTGTCGGCTTTCTCACGATCGCAATGAAATATGCAAGAGAAGATATAGCGCATCTTTTGCTGAAACAAGAGAATCCTCTCAAGTTAATTGTGATGCAATGTGGATAGCCGACGTTTTGTTCGCTGACGCTTCTATTTTTGCGGAACACTTTGGGTGCAGGCCGTGCCTTGGCGATAAAATTGCCTGTCATCATCCGGAATTCGAGAGAAAGACCTTTTCTCGGCCAAAAGTATGTTCCAAAATCATGCAACGATTTTTCTTTTATTGTCTGATTTATTAATAAAGTGTAATATTATATTTAGAAACTGCCAGTCATAACTTTTGGCGTAAAATAGTCAAACTACATTTTAAATCATTGAAAAAATGATATTTCATCAAATCATTCTGAATTTAACCAAATTCACTTGTGTGATAAAATAAGAATTTCGAGGTAGACATTCAAAATTAGAAAAATGTAATCGTTACGCTAGAAAAACTAATCGGTCAATGGAAAGATAGGGGTTTCAAGGAAATTTTTCTAAAAATAAGTAAAGAACAAGTAATAAAAGAAGATATAATAGCAACAAAGAGGATGACGTTTGGAAACAAATGAAATTCTGTACTATAACAATTAAATTAAGATATCTCAGTAAATATATGTATTGAAGAATATTTTTTTATTACACTGAAAAGGTACATCAAGATTTGCAGTTCAAGTAGAAGGCTTGTAGTTGAAGTTTTCATGACAGAAAATGATATTTTTGGTAACTTGAAACAAAATATATTCAGATGTTTCTCATTAATATAATAGATAATCTCACGTGACAAGTTACTATTTGATAAATAAAAACAAATAATAAATTGAATCTACCGCTTACGATCTTGTCACGTCGTCTTTCGGAAATCAGCAAATATCTTAATAAACTGTATGAAAACTAAATAATAACATATCTTGTTATAGATATGCTGTGAGCGACTAATTATTTTCTATTATTTCAAACTTATATTTAAGATTGTGAAATGATACGAATATAAACTAAATCTAAAAGCTTAATATTAAACAAAAACTAACAAATGTTTTTCTACAATTAAATAAAAACATCTGTAAAATATTATATATAATATAGAAAAGTGAAAACACATTTATGCTCATACTATTTTCAATATAGATAATTTATGCATAAATACTGTACAAACAAATCAAGATTTACATAAAAATTACTCGCAACACTGGGAATAATTAGTATGTGAATATGGAAGTCGCAATTATTATTATTATAAACATATAAGTAGTTCCATGCAGATTGTTCTGATATATCCTCAACGAAAGATATATTTTGATTCCAGATATTTGCAAAAGTTTTCATCGCTTTAAGAGACTTTTTATACCGTCCGCTGACGTAAAAATCTTCGTCTAATTGGCATGTGCACGAGTGTTGTCATTCGATAATTTGTTATTGGAAATTCCACATTTTTTCCTTCCACTCTATATAGTTGAATGAGTTACTTGAGTTTCTAAATAAAAAGGTTAACTGATTCACAAATAGCATATTTTAAATAAAACTAAACAATTCAAACTGCTGAAACAATATCAGAACAATGCAATTTTCACATTTGAGCGTATTCCATATTCGCCATTTTATTATATTGAATACTAAACATAAGACGGTTTGGAGAACACATTTTTTCTAAACTAATTTGTCAAATAGGATGTTTGTTTATGTTGTAACATTGATGTGGTTAGTTACTACAGGATGATTAATTTGAGATTTTCCTTATTGTTTGAAGGTATACGATACACACGTGGGACTTTTAATAAAAAGAAAAAAACGTCAATGTGAAAAAACACTGTTGTTACCTGTAAGGCGCGTCACAATTTTCATGAAAATCAATGTCTCTTCGTTGCTTTTTTTAGAAATTAAATCGTGATAAATTTATGACGAGGTGCACACGTGAGCACGTGTCTGTCGCACATGAACAATCTATGCAGTGCGTAATCTCAGACTCAATCTGCATTACATCGCACTTCTTTTACCATTTTCATAGTCAACGAGTTAACTTGTATTCAATAGAAGCAATATTTTCCTAGATTCAAATAGCCATAATTTTTCGATACAATTATGAGTAGTTTTGAGATAAAAAGTGTCATTTTCTTCTCCATCAAGCTTTTTTTGTTCAAACTTCTCAACCGTTCGATGCGTGTAAATAAAAATGTAAACGAAGTTTCGGTATCGATTCATTACTCAGACCAATGACAGCATCAAAATTCTAGTTTCAAATAAAGATGTTCAAATGATTAACTGTTTTGTTTTATCAAATCCTCAATGATGTTGCAAAGCAAATATTCTAATTATTCATATACATTTCATTATCGCATTATTCAACTTCACCTTCATGTCGTTCAAATACAATTGTGTTTAAATAACGTACTTAGTATAGTAATAGTACAAAATTTATGAGAAAAACAACGATGATACGATGCTTCGTAAACTCATCTATCTTCGATCGAAAGCTTTTTGCCGAAGTCATTTATTTTCGCGAATTTTCCATAATGCGAGTTTTAAATGAATATCGGGGACACGGGTTGATTCACCTCATCGTTGTGCACGTCATCGTTAGTTCTACTGAGAGTTACTTTTTGCCTAAAATGAATTATTATTAGACGAATAACTTGATATGTTACTCTCGCTAAAAAAAACCTAAACCTTAAATGTTATTGTTCTTTGAAGGTCAAGTTGATACAAAATAATAGTTCTGTAAGTGTTGCCGAAATTCGTGTGTTGACTAATCTAGAATAGTAAAATCATAAGAGTCAGGATGAATTATATTTATAATATAAAAAGTTGTTTCGACATACCTTGAAAAAGTAATATTTGCGTGAGTTTAATATTTTTCTTAATTAAATTTCTACATTTCAGGCAATGTGATACAATACCTAATAAATAAATTTGATTGAGTTATCGAATGTTAAATGCATAGTACGCGCGATTGCACAATAAAAATATTCAAAATGAGATGTTTGTTTATAAGTTAGTTTTGTTTTCTAATTTAACTTGCAGAAATCTAGTAAATGTTTATATATTCAGTACAACAGGTTTTGGGCATCTTGAAAAGTACACTCGGTTTAAGCCATCATCCTGATTTAAAAGCTTATTTCAATTAGAATAATAATCATTAAACATTTTACAAGGAAATAATTTTTTCGACACTCCGTGCGCATAGTGCGTCTTTCCCGCACGCTAGCGGGAAAACGTGCGTTGAAAATCGCACTTTCCACACGTCGTATCAAAAAATACGGTACGGCACATGTTCGGGAAAGAGTTTCCGTTTCGTTCGGGCGTAAACGCCACGCGAGACAAGAATCTACTTTCCCGCACTTGTATCGTAATGTACTATATCTTGAACATTACGAAAAACAATTGTAATCACAATGGTGAATTATAAATAAGTGAGCCAATTTTATGAAACATTGAAATACTTTCAATGAAATTGAGGAGACTAGACAATTGATCGAAGAGACAAAAACTTGAATTTTGTATTCATTTAAAAAGAAAATCGAAAATCAAATTTATGCAAATGCATAAATATGATGTGAAATTGCGAACGTTGATACCAAATTCTCGTATTAAAAAGGGCGAATAAATGTGTGAAAATTTGTCGAAAAAAATCTCATTTTCAAACATGTACCCAATAAATAAAAAATACTTAATCGAGAGTTGATCATTGTCATCCAGTTTTAATAATCTCTCCGAAGGGATCCAATTTTTATCGAGTGAAGCAAGGTCAAGATTTGAGTAGAATGTACAGAGGATACTTCTGACAAAGGAAACATCGACGCAGGAAACCATTGAACTCGCGCTGTAACCCTAGTGAACAGCCTTGCAGACAATGATAATTCTCGTGAAAAAATGCCGGTTGAACTCGCGGCAATAATGGGAAAAATATGAGCTTCCGGTTTTGCGCGAAATTCCACGTGTTGGGCCGGTGCGCGTAAACTCTTTATTACATCTCGGGCGAAATCATGCCATTCAAGCGCACGAATGCGAGCGCGCGACCTGTTCGCCTTCAGCCGTACGCATGCGATCTCTTCGAGATATAGCCGTGCGCGCACGCCTGATGAGTTTCGGTTCTGACACTTACGTACTTAAACTTGCTGGCCTTGAATATTTGGTTTTGCGTAAGATCAGTGATTTTCTTAATAAAAGTTTCCGTTACGTTGTAAATTATCAGCAAAATTACATTTTTTTATTAGTTCAAGTAAGCAACTACTTACATAATAAATCTTAGAATACATTTTCTCTTTTTTTTCAATTCAATTTAAAAATTGACGTAACAGATTTTTGTCGTTCTAAAATATTAGA